GCCATACTTGACTGCGTTAGCGCCTCAAAATGCCACTAATTTAAAACTTGGTCTTTAATCATTGCTTAACGAATACTGGCAATTGTTTTTATATGAAACAGCGTGGATATTGACCACAGTGAATATGTTGTGAATGCGTAGACCACGGTAACCGTGCGTAAACTACACTTCGACAATGACCTATTAATAAAAGTAAAATGCGGCAAATATTTCATACCATATTAGGTCAAAGGACATTGTTGCATGTCAAATACATCATGGCGGAAAGTGTTTTTCTTTGAGAGCTTGCGTATGACCTAACACATACGTCAGTGGAGATAATGATGAAGATTTTGACTTTGACTTTGACTGTGTTCCAGCAGACTCTAATATTTTTAATCTCGTGAACTCAGGTGGTGTGTAATTAATATTGTAATAAAATGTGTATATTTTTTGTGACCATTTCTGTTTCTTTATTGTAAAAGTCAATGACGACGCAACTAATACGGTATACAACAACTTTGACTCACCATTTTCATAGAGACTACCCCAACCAGTTATATAGCATATCTGTGTATCAGGGAAAAAATTAGGATCATCTGTAGGCAAGCAGGCTGGTCGTATGAAGTCGTTGAACTCTACCGGCATATTCAAGCGAAGAAGTGCATAATCATAATCTCGTTTTACTGAATTACGACCAGGATGGATGTGTATTTCCGATACATGCCTGGCAACTCTATGAGGTGATGCTGAGTTTTCTAAGTTCACAATTCCCAGAATAACGTCGAATATTGTCTCTGAGTCTCCTTCCCTGTGATATAATTGAAACAAAAGTCAATTGTAACAAACTCAATTCTGAAATTATGATAAAAAGTTACAATGATGTTAAATGATGATATAGATGTTAAGTTTACAAAGGTAGGTGTTCCGTTACAAAGGCAGATGTTCAGTTACAAAAGCAGGTGTTCAGTTACAAAGGCAGGTGTTCAGTTACAAAGGTAGGTGTTCAGTTACAAAGGCAGGTGTTCAGTTACAAAGGCAGGTGTTCAGTTACAAAGGCAGGTGTTCAGTTACAAAGGTAGGTGTTCAGTTACAAAGACAGATGTTCAGTTACAAAGGCAGGTGTTCAGTTACAAAGGTAAGTGTTCAGTTACAAAGGTAGGTGTTCAGTTACAAAGGTAGGTGTTCAGTTACAAAGGTAGGTGTTCAGTTACAAAGGCAGGTGTTCAGTTACAAAGGTAGGTGTTCAGTTACAAAGGTAGGTGTTCAGTTACAAAGGCAGGTGTTCTGTTCCAAAGGCAGGTGTTCAGTTACAAAGGCAGGTGTTCAGTTACAAAGGTAGGTGTTCAGTTACAAAGGCAGGTGTTCAGTTACAAAGGTAGGTGTTCAGTTACAAAAGTAGGTGTTCAGTTACAAAGGTAGGTGTTCAGTTACAAAGGCAGGTGTTCAGTTACAAAGGCAGGTGTTCAGTTACAATGGTAGGTGTTCAGTTACAAAGGCAGGTGTTCAGTTTAGAGAGACTGGTGCTTAAAGAGGTCTATCATATAGGCAAGTCATCAAACAGGGATCTGGGATAAACAGTGACCAATATGTCAGTGAACACAAATCCAAAATCGACAGGGGTTAATTGAAATACACACTGCGTGAAAACAAAAAAATACAAGTGATACTGCAGCCCCAAAACATGGCTCTAAGATTTGCTCACATTAATAGAATTAGTTGAATTGCTTGTCAATTATTTCATCCAATCATACAAAGTACTATACAACAAATAGCAAAGTTACACAGTTGCTGGTGTTCGAATCGTGCATGGCACTACCGGGTAAAATAAATACTCACACACAGTGGGCGGCTGTCAAAATCCACTGGCTGTCAATGACAGTACCTCCACACCAGTGTACACCCCATCTGTAGAGTGCTATTTGCCATGGCCAGTCTCCAAGGGAGGATTCATCTCCACCAACTATTCTATTCCTAACGACTGATGCTGGTCGTGTTCCACAAATGCCTAGTAATACAAACATAATAGTATAAACAGAAGAGCCTTTGAGCACCACAGTTTTGTCATCATAGCAAATTTTAAACCAAAAATGTTTTTTATAATTTTTCCAAAAAGCTCATAGCCATAATTATATATATTTGGTTCAAAATTTTGAAAACAAATACATGTATGGAAAAATACATAAAAACAGGACACATTTTGCTGGAAAAATATGTCTTCATTATTTATTCATGAGTCAAATAAAATTGGCAATTATTTAACACTTGGAAACATTTCTCACAATGAAACAAACTGTTGAAGTAATTACCCTTATTCTGCTAGTCTTATTTACTTTTACATTGACTTGACCAGATAAGGGTTAATGAATTCTGCATAACTCCATCATACTTACCAGTTGTGTTATACAAGATGTATTGACTACCATAGCATATGGTTGGGTCTAGTGATTCAGGCAGATCATCACACTCAAATGGCCAAGTAATACCAATCAATGCAAGTGGACGGGCACAGTTATTTTTAGCAGCTCGACAAAAGCCTTTGCAGGGTAGCAGTGTGTTGCCGTTATCATCACATGGATGGTCATACAAAGCACATAATAATATGTCTGTATATGGATAACAATCAAGCTGTGTTAGATTATGCATTAAAATGTTGAATTCATTTTCTGTATATAGCAAGCTTCCTGATCCAGTGTACTTTGATATCGGAGATGACTGGCATATTGGAGTGGTTTCAAGCTGACAAACTGAAAAATAAACAACAAAATTTGAATTACCCGCATTATATTTAATTCTCTGAATGTCAAAGGTAATCTTTTCTTATCTATCACAAAATAGACAGTAAATTATTGTGTCTATATTGTTCAAGAAATTTTCTTAAAACTGTAACAAATGGAATTTCATTTGGTCTTACTGGTAAATAAACTTCATTTTTTACGCTTAATTTGGGGTAAATTTGTTTACACTTTCTGGAATTTTTAATGAATTCAATCTAAGTTCGAACCAAACAGTCAAAATGTGACATTGCTTCTAGTTTTTGATCAACATTCATAAGGAAAAGAGGAGACTATAAAATAGAACTATTTTGTGGATGGTGCCTGAAGTTGACTTTGGCCCTCAAAGGGTACTTACCAACAAAATATGAAAATGTGCAAAAATGTTGGCAGGTGCTCTAAGGGTTAAGTTCATAATTTTCCTTGCAATTTTTTGAATGAGAACACCAAAGAGTGAAAAGTACAGAAACATACATGAAATTGCACTATGAAGAAAATCATGGAATTTATTCATTTTACCACCAGTACCCTTTTTTCATCACAAATTCACAAAATAGTCTGTATATAGTCTGCACTTTCCTTCTGAAGAATGGAAAAAAAATAGCCAAATTTTTGGAGTAAAAACTGAAAATTGACTAAAATTATGTCTGTTAGCTCCAAAATTAGGGTTTATTTCCTGAAATTTTGAAGAATATAATTAAAAAAGTGCAGAAAAATTTTAGCAAGAAAGATTCAATGCGCATTTATGCAAACATGCATTTTTCACTATTTTTGTTTGATAGTCCATACTGTTGATTATGTGGCAAATTATGATTTTATATCATGAACTAAAAAAGTCATTGTCAATATATTTTATATTACTTATATTATATATGTGATATATGACCTATTGTGTTGTGCACTAAGTTTGAACCATTTTTGAACTTTAAGTTTGAACTGAATCAGTCCAGTCATGCTTGATCCTTAGACCCTGAACTGCATTCTTTGAAACAAAATGGCCACCAGTTGGCCATTTGAACTTGTTCCGAAAAAATAAAATGACCTGCATAAATTACCCATTGTGTTCAATGTATTTACCAAGTTTAAACCAAATCCATCCACACATGACTAAGATCTGGTTACAGAATTGCGAAAATTTGTTATTTTGATGTACTCTTTGAATTTAAATGGCTGCCATTCGGCCATCTTGAATCAGATCATAAAAATAAATGAAATTTGAACTTGATCGACATGAGTATGTGTGAGATATGGACGGACACATCTGTAATCATCTGAACATTATTTGGTCATCAGAAATTAAAAAAAATTAAAAGTAGAAGAAGTCGAAAAAGTAAAACATTGACACGGACGACGGACAATCACTCATATGATAAGCTCCGCTCAACAAAGTCGACAGCGGAGCTAAAAATTTAAAGTAGCAAACACTTACAGCAATTTTTGCCTGCAGTATTGTTGGGACATTGACAAGAAAAATCGTTAACGTCATCGATGCAAGTACCACCATTGAAACAAGGATCTTCAGCACATTCATTTGTATCTAGGAATGAAAATAAAAATTAAAAATGTCATATGGATATATCATTTCAGGAACTATGAACTATTCCCTGCAATTTCTATGCAGAGAAATAGAAATAAAAAAATAAATAGTCTGTAAAACTATCAAACAACTATACTTTACAACAGATAAAACTAAATTAAGTGTTATTTCCATGTTTAATTAAATAATAGTTTTGTGATAAGTCTTTATGTGACTATTGTAAGCTCAAGTGGAAACCAGACTACATCTCTCAGTCAAATGGCAGTTTAAAGCATTATCCAGGTGCCAACCAGGCCACTCTGAACATTTGAGCATCACAAATCTTTGACTGTCACCAATAGATGAGTTTTGAGTTATAGTGCCAACAATAGGAGGGGTGATTAGGCAACTTATTTGCTAGTTCCCTGCTATAGTGATTTTCCTTGCTGCATGCATGTGAATATGGGTGTATTACCGGTAACAGATTATTGTAAATGTGCAAAAAAAACAGTACTAAAACTGTCTGACAGTCGTTTTCTGTTGTTTTTTCATGGCCAATTTACATTGTTTTGAGAATCATATTCATCGCAGTATATGTATTTTAACAACAGTATTTGTGTTTTTGCAGGTAAAGTAGACATACAATGTAGCTTACCAATATCACAGTTTGTCCCCTCCCATCCCGGTATGCAATCGCATTCATAATCAGTGTTTTCCAGTGGCTGGCATTCACCATATACACAAGGATTTCCAATGCACCCTGTTATTTCTGAAACAAAATATGAAATCCATTTATTAAAAGACTCAAGTTTCAGACTTTTTTTCAAATCTGCCACTATTTTACTCCTATTTGTGAAAGAGGAAAATATGAAATCTGAAGATACCCAATAATTAACCAATGATACAGATACTATAAATTTTGTAATTATTGCCATGAGAAGCACTCATTACCTTTTGTGCAACTAAACATTTCCAAGCTTCTACTGTATTTTTTAGAAATACATTAACTGACATGTACAGAATAAGAAACAGGAGCACTGCAATTCAGCGGCGCCACCAAGTGGGGGCTAAAGGGTTCTCCCTACAAGGGTGTGGAGTATTTGATAATTCTAAGTTAAAATGGAGCCTTCCTTGGGGACAAAAATATTATCAGATAGGTCACAGTTGTAGACTGTGGCCACATGTAATCAGAATTTTATGGTTGCCAGAGGATCTGCTCCCCAGGGTAAGGGGGGGTGCATGGCCATGTCATGAGGGCGCTGAGCCCCTATTCCCTTATTCAAAAAAATTTCTGGGAAAGCAGGATTGCTTTTATTGCTAGCAAAGTGTGAGAGATAACTTAGCGTAAAATCTTCATTGCACATCACCATACATGGTTATGACATTTGCAGGACTCAAACCCATGCACATCCTGATGAGTTCTTTGTTGTCCACACACCTGTTTACTATCAAGTCAGTTCTTAAATAAGTATGTTAATAATATAATGACCAATGCTATAAATACGTACCTATACATCCTGTTTCATTACTCAACACCGGCATAGTGGAACAATCAATAGTCCACACACTCCCACCACCTTCAATAACTGATTTACAAGCACTTTCCACTTCATCACAGAAACTTTGGCAGACTTGTCGATAATCGCCGTTAGACATACACTCTGGACTAAGGACGGCACACATGAAAAGATTAATGTATTGGTGGCAGCCTTCATATTCAAATCCGCCTCCACTTTGCCTTTTGTTTCGCTTCATTGATTTATCTTCACTGGCGACTCTCAGGCCACTGTACGGTCGGTAGGGATCACAACTGGGTGTTGATAAGTCAACACAAACTGCAAGCAAAAATAATGTACTGTTATTAATTTATATTGTGTTCATAAATTGTAATTGTCTTGACAATTACTATAGATCAATGCTTGCAACTGTTTATGACTGATGATAAAATATTAAAGTAAAATTAAAATGGATTGTGAAAATGCAAGGAAATATAGAATAACTGTGCAATAAGTTTTTTTTCTGTTAACTCAAAAACTATTCAACTTAACTAAGCACATCTTTTGTTATGTCTTAAAAGTTGCATTCCCATTTTGCAAATTTGTTAACCATTTTTCCAAGAACAAGTTAAAAACTTAAAATATGTTTTTGCTAAAAAATGATATATTGAAAGTAGATAAATTTTATCTTTTGTTCCAAAATTGGGGTTCATTTCCAGAAATATTGAAGAATATTTTCTGGTGAAAAAGAGGTTAAATTGATATTCGGTTATTGATTAATATATCATTATCTATCCATAATCTCAGTATTTTATGGTATGTATAATTTTTATATATAAATATTGGTCAAAGGTTTGGAATTTCACTGACCTTCAAAGTGTGAATGCAAGAATTGAGTGCTAAGCGACAATAAAAATGCAATTAAGGCAAATGGGTAGATGCTTTTTTGTAAGTGACGTATGCAATGGCCATCTGCCGCATACACAGGTGACATCCTGTTTTAATACTAGTATATTCAGTTATTTGTTTTATGCACAGCATAGAAACACTTGCACATGCTCACACTCTATATACGTACATGAAGTATCACTTATGAGTATCTCAAAACCTGATGATGCAAAGCTCACATCAGATGAAAATTGGATCCATATATCCCGAGACATGACAACTAACTCTTCTGGAACAACCATTCCGGAATACGACGCAATAACAGAATCTTCTGAATTGATATCACTTCCAGTTCCAACAGTCAAGTAATCGCAGCATTCCTCGGTGTTGAAAGCCAGGAAGGTGAGCCTGATGCCACGATTTTCTGAAACGTGAACCATCCAGGTGCAAACTTTGTTCAAGTCATAGCTCTCTGGGTAATTAGGCGATGATATTGTAGTAGTTTCTTCTTCTACTAAAGTGAGATCTGTTCCACATCCTGCAATATAATCATAAATACAGCTGGTCCCACCTAAGCCTTAACGCTTAATTGTCACTATTTGTCATGAACATAAGCAACACACATGTAATTCTATTACATAGTCCCCTGTACATTATCAACCATCACAGAGAATGTAAGAAATATGACTCCAAAACTCTATTCACTAGAATAAAATGGTCATTTTAAATCTGATCTGAAAAATATGAACAAACCCCTCAAACTGTTCAACTCAATGAAAATAAAGATTATACTTGCTACGAATGGTAGTGAATTGATAATGTGGTAAATATTCAAAAAAAGACAGTAACAAGTATTGACGGCATTATCTTAAAATGTCTATCCAAAATCCTACCTTCAAGGCTATACACAGATGCAAGAAAACCTTTTTCCTGTACTATATTATCTGAGGTAAAAAGTATCCATATGTCACGACCATTAGCGATGTAATCAGGAGGTATTTCAACGCCTGTTATTTCATCTATTTGCGTTGTAACATCACTGGGGTCATCTCCAAATCCAAAATAAATATAATCATATGTATTTTCAAGCTTAACATATGTGAAGTCTAGTCGAATATTGTATCCGACTTCAGTCGACACCAACCACAAGCAGTTGCTATCTGGGGGGTAGTCTTCAGGGTAATTTGGTGATGTAATGTTTCTTTTTCCATTTGGTGGTAAGTATATTGTTTCTCCACATGTTGACTCTAATGAAAAGAGAAAAAAAAATCAACAAATGTTGACAGATAATGCACCAATTTTACTGTATCTGATTATCATTTATTGATTGGTCAAGAAATATTTTATTCAAATTACAAAATTCTGCCAAAAATACAGAAGTTGCAGTAACTGGCCCTTGAAGTTTAATTCTATCAAAATACATAATGAATATTACCTGGAGTTGTAAATAATGCTGTTGTCATAGGCGAAGAGGAAGCTGTTGGCCTCATTGGCACAAAGCAATATTTCTCATCAGTTCCATCACTGCAATCGGCCACATAATCACAGATAATATTTTCAGAAAAGCACATGCCATTCGGACAAACCATAGCACTTTCCTCACAGACTAAAACAGATGAATACAATAAGTTTGAATTACATTTTACAGCTCCAATGAAAATGATATTTATTACAGCTGTTTTTTTTGTATAACAAAGCAGTGTAATATTTTTTTATATCTGCATATTAGGTAATAATTAAGAATCCCCAGTAATCCAATTGGTCAATGCAACCAGATATCTGCATATTAGGTAATAATTAAGAATTCCCAGTAATCCAATTGGTCAATGCAACCAGATATCTGCATATTAGGAAATAATTAAGAAAACCCAGTAATCCAATTGGTCAATGCAACCAGATATCTGCATATTAGGTAATAATTAAGAAAACCCAGTAATCCAATTGGTCAATGCAACCAGATATCTGTATATTAGGTAATAATTAAGAAAACCCAGTAATCCAATTGGTCAATGCAACCAGATATCTGCATATTAGGTAATAATTAAAACCCAGTAATCCAATTGGTCAATGCAACCAGATATCTGCATATTAGGTAATAATTAAAACCCAGTAATCCAATTGGTCAATGCAACCAGATATCTGCATATAAGGTAATAATTAAGAAAACCCAGTAATCCAATTGGTCAATGCAACCAGATATCTGCATATAAGGTAATAATTAAGAAAACTCAGTAATCCAATTGGTTAATGAAACCAGATTAAACTTTTACAATCATGGCTGACAATATCAAAATTTGCCAACATCTTATTATGTTGGTGGATTTTATGCTATTTTCTTTGAAAAGTTGGAGAACAATAATAATTTAAATACTTCTTTCAATTTTAAATATCATATGTCATTTAGGCAATTTTTGAACAAAAAAATGCTCTCAATATTCATCTTTTAGGATTAAGTTTTATCTGGTGGTGAAACACCCCTACATAAAAATCAAGGCAAGTATCCCTGGACTGCTGAGTCAGAATTCAAAAACTTAAATATGCATACCAGAATTGTAGAGATGAACATCAAAGACAAATCCTCTCTTTGTGACCAACAAATCAGAAGAAAAGTAGATCCACATTAAGTTAGTTTGAGAGACAACATTGGTCGGTCTGTGATCTCCTGAAAAAATATCTTGAAGCGTTTCTTGTGTGGGATCCAAGCCAACTCCATAACCTAATAAATCAGAATCAACCTCCGTTTGGAATGACCAAAAATTAATGTTCATCTTGGTGTTGGCTGGAGAGCTAAAGAGCCAGACGCAAGTTCGAGAATTGTCGTACTTTAGTGGGAAGTTCGGTGAAGTAATTCTGACATACTCATCATTATTGGTGATATCATAGACACCTGCGCACCCATCTGTAATCAAATCAGAAAAACTGAAGTATAACAAAGAATAATTTTATGAACCTGTGTATAGTGACGACTCAAGGTACAGTCAAACCTGTGTATAGTGACCAGCCAAGGTACAGTCAAACATGTGTATTGTCACCACCCAAGGTACAGTCAAACATGTGTATTGTCACCACCCAAGGTACAGTCAAACCTGTGTATAGTGACCGCCCAAGGTACAGTCAAACATGTGTATTGTCACCGCCCAAGGTACAGTCAAACCTGTGTATAGTGACCGCCCAAGGTACAGTCAAACATGTGTATTGTCACCACCCAAAGTACAGTCAAACATGTGTATAGTGGCCACCCAAGGTACAAACCTGTGTATAGTGGCCACCCAAGGTACAAACATGTGTATAGTGACCACCCAAGGTACAGTCAAACATGTGTATAGTTACCACCCAAGGTACAGTCAAACCTGTGTATAGTGGCCACCCAAGGTACAAACCTGTGTATAGTGGCCACCCAAGGTACAAACCTGTGTATAGTGGCCACCCAAGGTACAAACATGTGTATAGTGACCACCCAAAGTACAGTCAAACCTGTGTATAGTTACCACCCAAGGTACAGTCAAACCTGTGTATAGTGACCACCCAAGGTACAGTCAAACCTGTGTATAGTGACCACCCAAGGTACAGTCAAACATGTGTATTGTCACCACCCAAGGTACAGTCAAACATGTGTATTGTCACCACCCAAGGTACAGTCAAACATGTGTATTGTCACCACCCAAGGTACAGTCAAACCTGTGTATAGTGACCATCCAAGATACAGTCAAACATGTGTATAGTGACCACCCAAGGTACAGTAAAACTTGTGTATAGTGACCAGCCAAAGTACAAACCTGTGTATAGTGACCACCCAAGGTACAGTCAAACCTGTGTATAGTGACCATCCAAGGTACAAACCTGTGTATAGTGACCATCCAAGATACAGTCAAACATGTGTATTGTCACCACCCAAGGTACAGTCAAACATGTATTGTCACCACCCAAGGTACAGTCAAACATGTGTATTGTCACCACCCAAGGTACAGTCAAACGTGTATTGTCACCACCCAAGGTACAGTCAAACCTGTGTATAGTGGCCACCCAAGGTACAAACCTGTGTATAGTGACCATCCAAGATACAGTCAAACATGTGTATAGTGACCACCCAAGGTACAGTCAAACTTGTGTATAGTGACCAGCCAAAGTACAGTCAAACCTGTGTATAGTGACCAGCCAAGGTACAGTCAAACATGTGTATTGTCACCACCCAAGGTACAGTAAAACATGTGTATTGTCACCACCCAAGGTACAGTCAAACATGTGTATAGTGACCATTCAAGGTACAGTCAAACATGTGTATAGCGACCACCCAAGGTACAGTAAAACATGTGTATAGTGACCACCCAAGGTACAGTCAAACCTGTGTATAGTGACCACCCAAGGTACAGTCAAACATGTGTATTGTCACCACCCAAGGTACAGTCAAACATGTGTATAGTGACCACTCAAGGTACAGTCAAACATGTGTATAGTGACCACCCAAGGTACAGTCAAACATGTGTATAGCGACCACCCAAGGTACAGTCAAACATGTGTATAGTGAACACCCAAGGTACAGTCAAACATGTGTATAGTGACCATCCAAGGTACAGTCAAACATGTGTATTGTCACCACCCAAGGTACAGTCAAACATGTGTATAGTGACCACCCAAGGTACAGTCAAACCTGTGTATAGTGACCACCCAAGGTACAGCTAAACCTGTGTATAGCGACCACCCAAGGTACAGCCAAACCTGTGTATAGCGACCACCCAAGGTACAGCCAAACCTGTGTATAGCGACCACCCAAGGTACAGTCAAACCTGTGTATAGTGACCACCTAAGGTACAGTCAAACATGTGTATAGTGACCACCCAAGGTACAGTCAAACCTGTGTATAGTGACCACCCAAGGTACAGTCAAACCTGTGTATAGTGACCACACAAGGTACAGCCAAACCTGTATATAGCGATCACCCAAAGTACAGTCAAACATGTGTATAGTGACCATCCAAGGTACAGTCAAACATGTGTATAGTGACCACCCAAGGTACAGTCAAACATGTGTATAGTGACCATCCAAGGTACAGTCAAACATGTGTATAGTGACCACCCAAGGTACAGCCAAACCTGTGTATAGCGACCACCCAAGGTACAGCCAAACCTGTGTATAGCGACCACCCAAGGTACAGCCAAATTTGTGTTTAGCGACCACCCAAGGTACAGCCAAACCTGTATATAGCGACCACCCAAGGTACAGCCAAACCTGTGTATAGCGACCACCCAAGGTACAGCCAAACCTGTATATAGCAACCACCCAAGGTACAGTCAAACATGTGTATAGTGACCACCCAAAGTAGAGTCAAATCTGTGTTAATGACCACTCCCTGAACAGGTTGTCTTTTATTCAATGGTGGTCACAAGTTTCACTGTCTACAGAAGTTTAGTTTTATCATACAGAAAGTATTACAGTTTATCATACATTTGACATTCATATTCAAATCACTGCGCAAATAACAAACCATCAATATCTACATTAATCCTTTCAGCATCACATTTGGTGAATTTTTTTCAGATTTTCTGTAATTTTCAGTGAATAACTAATTATGAACTAAATAAACAAAATATGACTTTGGAAATTTTAGCAACATTTCTTGTGGGAAAGAGCAGACTATATAAATACTTTGTGGATGATGCTGAAAGTTGACTTTGGCGTTCAAAGTGTTAAACCTGCATAATTGTTAATGACTACACATATATTTGAGTGTTGATAAATAAATTAGTTACAGCTGCTTCGTTTTAAGATTGTTTTGGATTAATAATATTCAACTAAAAATTATCCTTCAACTATCCTCAGGACGGAGCTACGTCACAAGACGTTTCACGTTGCTAAGACACGCACCACTGTACCACATATTTCTATGGGCTCTGTGCGCTGCTGAGGAACGAGCGAAGAGCCGATGAAAATTTGAGAAAACAACAGGAACTCAACTTTGAAGTAATCCTGAAAAATAAAATTTGTATGCGTTACACACGCAGGGGTAATCTTGTTACACTGTTCAGGGGAGTCTCAACAACCATCCCAAAGTACTGTTTTCAGAGGGTTTTCGGCCTTTGTTTTCACCGTGCTGGTTGCCATGAGGTGAAAATGTCTGGATGTCCGCCCCAAGGATATGAAATTGTGTCAACTACTTATGCGTCATACCTGTGTCCCTGGCTGTAACAGCAATATCATCTACGGCACAGTCCTCTGAGAATTGTGCGTGTATCCATAAAGTTTGCCCACTGGATAATAAAGTTTGAACTCTGTGAAGATCAACTGACTGGTCCCATGCACCAATTATTCCACTCTCAATCGTCACACCATTTCCAGCTGATATATTGTAAGCACATGACTGCGAGACGCTAGTCGTATCTACAGTCGCCTCTACGAACCGACCCGGCTGAGTGTTGAATATCCAGGCACAATCATAACTATTTACAAACTGTGGGTGCAAAGTGATGTTCTCAGCTTCTTCCAATTCAACAAACTCTCCACATGCTGCGATCAAAGAAAAAAAATATATTAATTTATAATCAACAAAAAACTTCTGTGTATATTAAAGAACGAAGACCCATATACTGGAAATATAACTTGCCAGCAAGTCTGGAAGCCATCTTTAATTGGCAGTCAAAACCAAAGTTGTGGTTTGATAACTTCAGTGATTAAATTGTGTGAAAATGATATTTTATCTGAGATAAGGAACTTGACCTACCATCCCCAATTCCTCCATCTGGATCTTCACAAGATCTGTCATTTCCGGGTATCGGGAAGCAAAAGTACGGGCAACCGCCATTATCATTGGCACACATGTTTGTCCCTGCATGGAATAATATCAATTAATAAAGAAACTTTAATTGGTAAGTACCTCTATTTTATTATAACATATGTCGTGGCTGCTGTGATCTGTGGAATCATTGGTCACATGTTGGTCATATGGGAATACATATAATCTCTTCCACATACTCCGAATATGACACTCTATTTGGAATGGTGCATAATGATCGGACTATCACATTAGCTCTCCAACCTTTCAAGATAATTTTCCCATCAAAGTATTGATCCAACATTTTGCAGTATTTTGCCATTTTTTACTAATTTTTGACCGAATGAATATTTTTTCTATTGGCTTCAGGTGATGATCAAAAATTATGTTGGTTTACACTTTTATAGGTAACTAATGTGATAGATACAGGAAAGTTAAATCAAGTCAATGTCTATGACATAGTCCCTGTCCAGTTTTTAGTGACTGTTGACATAAGTTGATAATTATTCAAAATGGTGGTCATCATATTGACAGTCGCTGAGCAACTAAAAATTATTCAAAATGGTGGTCATCATATTCAACGTTGCTGAGCAACCAACAATTATTCAAAATGGTGGTCATCATACTCACGGCTGCTGAGCGACCAACAATTATTCAAATATGTCAAATATAACTGTTCAAAAATGTGTGCCTGTTGCGCAAGAACATCATTTGTCCTTTTCATGATGAGCAAATCAAATACTTCACTCGAGCACAATTAAACATCAAATTTCAGACAGTATAAATATCATGAATGACACATACCATCAGGTTGTGAATGAAGAGTCTGCACGTACAACCCCCACCCGAGTGAGTACTGCTGTGATATGAATGTATCACTACTATTGCCACTCCGATCGGCTCGCATCAAATCCTTAGAATACTGATCCATCCAATAGATATAGTTGGAGTCTATAGCAACGTCAATCGATACTGACAAACCTAGATTTAACACAACCGATCTTGTTCCACTCAGAAAATGGTATACTTCAACAGTTTCGGTGCGATAGTCACACCAAAACAGCTTTTTATCTGTCAAAAAAAAAAAGCATTTTATTCATTGAGAGGCTTTTAAAATTTATTAAACTTTGTTCCTCACAAAATAAAAGTGGTTTACTGGTAACTATCGATAATTTGGGTCAGTTCTTACCTTTATGGTCAATTGCCATTCCAGACACATAACCAACTCCCCTGATAAAACTATCCATATTGCTACCATTGGTGTATGCACGATAAATAACATTATCAGTTGCATTAACTTCATCGTTTTCGTTATCTGCCCAGAACATCCACCTAAGAAGAAATTGATTAAGTCAGGAACGTATGCTAGATTACCATATGCAAATACTTAGTATGTAGTAGACAATTCTTGTTCACTGCAAGACAATGTGTTAGGTGTAAACTCAAACGTAAAAAACAAGACAAACGAACGTCATAGTGATGTCAAAACATTGTGTGCTACTCAACATATTTTTTAGATTTCAAAGCTTAGCACATGGCCAACAGCCAATCAGAGTCACGATAAAGTGTGGTTCTATTTCACCACGAATTCACTTTTATCACAGCTGAAAAAACGCAAGAAAACAAAGGGTTTTCATTGCAACAATTTATTTATAACACCAAGATCAGATATAAAGTATCCATTGAGTTATGCTCGATTCAACTGACACTACTGGCAGCACGTAGGCCATCATTTTGACAAAATGTAACATAATGTACTAAAATGTTATTTCACAAGTTTGATTGCTCTCAAAATGCCATCCTTTGATTGGTTAATACGAATTTTTTCTCGGGCTTATTGGGCAGTGCTAAGTCGGTTAGATCACGTCCCTCTGTGACTATGAGAATTAGAATTCTGGCCCACGGCCCTCGTTCAAATTCTCATAGTCACCTTGGACTGTGATCTAACCTATACTTAACAAAAGTTAATGGTATCTTGTAATAATAATAATAATAATAATAATAATAATAATAATAATAATAATAATCTTTATTGAAACCGTATCCCAGAGTGGGATCTTACTTGAAAATACAATATTAAAGGGATGATATGGAGAGAGATACAATTCATGAAGAAATGCTGATAGTCATAAAATAGACATTGTTTCATTACCCAGAAACGGCTGCTACTTCTATTGGGCCAGGCCTGGCAAGCCCTGAAAGCAGAACACGACGCCAACCGTTCTCCAAATTAACCACTTCAATCGTTCCCCTGGCAGTGTCAGTCCAGTAAACATTCCTTGACAGTGGATCAATATTCAATCCTTTTACATCTATGGAAATTAAAGTAAACAACACCAGAGTTTATAGCTGGTCACTGTTAATTACAGGAAATGCAAAAATAAATCATTTGAAATATTGCAATGTTTAGCAGTGAGTGTTTATTCACACTTTGGCACTTTCAATCAAAAAATATATATACAGTATATAAACTTAGTTTTTGAATTTTTTGTTTCACCCATGTATTAACTCACATATGTTGAGAATGAAAATTTGATCTATGGCTGTAAATATTATTGAATACTATGAGACGTTGTCATATTAACTGACATATGTTGAAAATGTTATCTATGGCTGTAAATATTACTGAATACTATGAGACGTTGTCATATTAACTCACATATGTTGAAAATGTTATCTATGGCTGTAAATATTACTGAATACTATGAGACGTTGTCATATTAACTCACATATGTTGAGAATGAAAATTTTATCTATGGCTGTAAATATTACTGAATACTATGAGACGTTGTCATATTAACTCACATATGTTGAGAATGAAAATTTGATCTATGGCTGTAAATATTACTGAATACTATGAGATGTTGTCATATTAACTCACATATGTTGAAAATTTTATCTATGGCTGTAAATATTACTGAATACTATGAGACGTTGTCATATTAACTCACATATGTTGAAAATTTGATCTATGGCTGTAAATATTACTGAATACTATGAGACGTTGTCATATTAACTCACATATGTTGAAAATTTTATCTATGGCTGTAAATATTACTGAATACTATGAGATGTTGTCATATTAACTCACATATGTTGAAAATTTTATCTATGGCTGCAAATATTACTGAATACTATGAGACGTTGTCATATTAACTCACATATGTTGAAAATTTGATCTATGGCTGTAAATATTACTGAATACTATGAGACGTTGTCATATTAACTCACATATGTTGAGAATGAAAATTTGATCTATGGCTGTAAATATTATTGAATACTATGAGACGTTGTCATATTAACTCACATATGTTGAGAATGAAACTTTATCTATGGCTGTAAATATTACTGAATACTATGAGACGTTGTCATATTAACTCACATATGTTGAAAATTTTATCTATGGCTGTAAATATTACTGAATACTATGAGACGTTGTCATATTAACTCACATATGTTGACAATTTTATCTATGGCTGTAAATATTACTGAATACTATGAGACGTTGTCATATTAACTCACATATGTTGAGAATGAAAGTTTGATTTATGGCTGTAAATATTATTGAATACTATGAGACGTCGTCCATATATCTGTTGATTAACCTTGTTCATAGATATTTCTGAATCAGTTGCAGATGGTACTCTGGACAGTTGATTGTTTTTTCTGTGAAAACCATTTTCAGCAAATCAATTGCGAGACATATTGAAATGGTGACCTTTTTTTAATCCTGTGTGCATTTTACTCTTTTGAACACAAATAATGCATGTTAGTATGCATTCACTTAATTATAATTATCATTTTTTTTGTTAATTTTATTTCTATTAGCAGAAATTTAACAAGTACATTTCAACAAAACAATTCTGATCAATATTACCTGAAACTTTCCAACTTGCAACAGTTTGCACATTGTATCTTTCATTCTTGCGTTCAGCAACTTTAATCTGACCTTTTTCTTCTGCCCAGTAAATACCATCACTGACAAAATCATACGACACACGTCTTGGTTTGTCAACCAAATGTATCGGCAGATTGAGATTGTAAGATTCCTCAGGAATATCCAAAAATATACGTCCCAGATTGTCAATGTAATCAGCAGTCAGAATAAAGTCACCTGTACAAAAAACACACAACTATATTGTTATTTTGAATACAAGTTGCATCATAACTATAAATCATGCTGAAACTGTATTATGTAATCTTAATTGTCACTGCATCATATGAATATGGCATTGCATTGTGGGAGATTTACTTTGCATTATGGGAGATTTACTTTGCATTATGGGAGATTCACATTGCATTGCATATGAATCTGGCATTGCATTATGGAAGATTTACTTTGCATCATGGGAGATCCACATTGCATTGCATTGCATATGAATCTGGCATTGCATTATGGGAGATTTACTTTGCATTTTCAGAGATTCACATTGCATTCTGGGAGATTTACATTGCATTAGTATAAGACTGATATTACATTTCGGGAGATCAATACTGCATTATGGAAGACTAGCATTGCGTTTTAGAAGAGATTGTCATTGCATCCTGGAATTAGTAGACTATATTATTTGAATTGCATCACGAGAGACAGCATACCATTGCACAGTGCAGAAAATATCTAATAATTTTGACACTAGTAACGAAAAAAAAAAATGAACATTGGGCACTCTTACCGATTGTATCATAGATGGACATGGAAAATCCTTGTTTATTGATAAAATCATCAGCACTAAACTTAACCCATAATTGGTTACCCTCGGTGAGGACATCCACAGGTGGCACAGATCCAGTAATGTAGTAAATAGTAGAGTTGTCATATAAATCGGCTCCATTGCCTACATACAAATAATCATGTTCATACTCGACATCAAGAAAATCTACATGGACAAACAAACGTCGGTCTACATCTGTGGTTACCTTCCATATACATGTTGTATTGCTTACATAGTAGCCTGGATACCCTGGAGTTGTCAGGGAAACAACTTCCCCAATGCTGATCACAAATTCATCACCGCATACCCTTTCTGAAATATGAAAATAATATACAAATTGTTGAAGTTGAAAATAACTATTTTTACCAAAAACAAGACCAAAATATTCACTAATATTAGAGAATAGAAGATATCGTCATAAAATAAACAAGTCAGACTAAAATCCACTCAAGACAATAGACCATTTTCCGTTCACTGCGAGAATCACGCGTTATGCGTGAAATCGAACGTAAAAACAGGACAAACAAAGGTCATAGCGTCGTAGTCGCGTCAAACATCGCGTGGGATTCGACAAACGCGAAAGTATTTGGGGGGACATTTCCATGCTTAATAATGTGCTGTACACATTTGATGATAGGCAATTTCGATTAAGTAAGGGTATTCGGAATCAATATTCCTCTGTCGAAGATCGGCCGGTCAATGTAAGCTACGAAATAAAGAAATTCTAGTTCAAAATCAAATCGTTCGATTTTTGCGGCAGACGTTCGACGCGCGTCTTTCATGCATCTCGCGAGATCTCGCAATAGTACGGAAA